TCGGCGAATTTGCGAACTGTCGTTCTATTCCTCCAAGAGTTTTCCATTTAGAAACGAAAGTTTCTCGACATTATATATGCACGGAGAGAATATTATAGTTCTTTTTTTTGTGTAAATTCTTGTCAACAATTTTACTGTGTTTTCAGTAGTCCAGGAACAGACCGTCGGGAAGATCTTGCTGAGGAACATAATAAATTTTGCTGGAAACGTGGCAAGTGTTTTAATAACACAGTTTATAAAATATATAAGTAGCAGATGTGAAAAAAACTGAAAGGATAGTGAATTACTGTAGAGTTCTTTAGTTATAAGATCCGATAGTGCTTTTCACTATAAAATTCTCTCCATGTAGAATCACCGCGTAAACATTGTAAAAGAAAAGTATTAATAAAATAAAATATAACATAATATGTTTACTGATTTTTTGGAGAATCCAAAATTTGAAATATTTGTAATTTTCTTACATAAAAATCACACAACACGATTGTTCTCTTCCCAGAAACTTCACTTTCCTGATATTCTGTCTCTGCACCAAACACGTTATTTTAATTTCACGAGACTGTTTTCTAATTACAGTGTACCTAGGCAGAGCAAACAACCACGGTGATGTCAAAATGATGTCACAGTGACGAGAAGATGATTAAAAAAACTCACTTTTCAATTACAATTCGATCATTCCGTCATGATTTTCTGCTCTACTTGTGCACTACGTCGGAAGAAGGAGAAATAATACTTTTCTCGCGTTGTATATTGTGTTCGAAGCAAGTTAGTGTCAGCGAGAGCAAGAGAGAGAGAAAGAGAAAAAGAGAGTTCTAGCCGTTTCCTCGTCGGGAGATCAAGGGTGAAACGTGGCCGCGAACAACGGCGCTTGTGCACGTGCGTGCACTAACACGCCGTAATGAGGTAGCCGATGGGCGCGAGAGCGCACGAGAGAGCTACAGAGTCGTCAATGGAATTTATGATCTGGATACCAGGCATGGCCGCGCGGAACGTGACGAGTGTGACTAACCGATTTTCGGCGGGCTGAGGCGGAGGAGGGCCGAGGAGATGAGATCGGCGGCTATTCGCGATGTAAATTTCAGCCTCGGAGAAGACGGCGACGCGGCGGTGGCGGTGGCGACGAAGGTGAAGGCGGGGGCGACGAGGGGGCTCATACGTCATGAGCGCGCGCGCGGCCATTCGTGACCTTGACCACATTTCTTCTCTTCGGCTGCCCGGGAGAGAGACCCGCCGACCGACTATTCGCGCGGGCGTGACTCGGAGCTCTAGTCAAGTGCCGGTCCAAATTCTCACGATCGCCGGGATAAGTCGCTGGGAACGTTAGGTCAGGATCATACCGAGATGACGAGCTCAGTCGCGAAAGGGTCGACGTGGAGCGAAGGACGCGGCGTGTCCGCGGTAATTCCCTTTTTCCGGCTTCCATCCGTCCCGAAGTTATCCTCAGGAAAGTATCGTTTCTCCGAACGAGATCTTTCTATGCACATTTTTCTCTAATAATTTTCCTCCACAATTTCCGGCAGCCTTGCTGCAAATTTCTCCAATTTATTCATCGAGATTCTTTCTTTCAGAAACGAAAGGAAAAGGACAGAAGAGATCATCGGCAGGAGGCAACGCGAGTTTTGTGAATGAAGCTTTCAGACGAGCCACGATGAGTTGGGGCACGCTGTTTGGATTTCTTTTGGAGGTAGTCCAGTGAAGTAGTCGTTTCGACTAGGATAGTCACCGACAGTCTAGCGATTAACGGACACACGCGTTCGCGTCCGCCTGACGTTTCGTTATGCATAGTTAACTTCCAGTCGGCCGGCGATTTTTGCAGTTCGAGACGCTACACGTCTCAACGGACAGAAGCGGACTACACCGCGTCTTACAGGAGAAAGAGAGAAGCAGAAAGTTCCCCCATATGCCAGGGATTTAGATAAATATTTTAAACTGTTCCTGCGATATATCGCATATTTTACGTGAGAAGAACATCGCGAAAAGCAGGTGTTTCGAGAGGCACTGTTTCGGCGCGACAAGGCGCGAGAGGAGTCGCACAAATGAAACATCTCGAGAACATGAGCGAGGTTAAAAGATCTCTGTCAGCGGTGTAACACGAGAATCGACGAGTCAACGGCACTACAAGTCTTCTAAAGAATAAGCGTCGCCAGCATCTAGACGCGAAATAGAAAAAAGTCTATCGACGACGTCTCTCGCTCTCAGAGCGCGACTGTTGTCTCGCCGTTGATAAATCCCTCGAGTACACCTAGCCTTCGCTTTGGCGGGAACAGCCGGGGCCCCGTAATCGGCGCGATCGACAAACGGCATGTTGGCCGACGCGTCCGCGATTATCAGCGACTTATCGCCGAGGCGAGCACACAGGCGCGACCTTGTCGCGACGTAGCTGGCGCCATTTTGCTGATGCGTGCGTCTGTGTCCCATCACGTGAATAAGTTTTCCGCGCGAGGCGACCGGGCGAAACTGTCTTCGCGGAAAATAGGACGCGAAATACGACGATGACGTCGCTTGCTCCGATTCGATGCAGAAATTAAGTCGAGTGAGTGCCGTGATAGACGAGCGATAGGCACACGTTGAGAGTCTAGTCGAGTCTAAGGCCCGTATTAATAGTTGTCACATGAAACTCGTTTCACACGGCGTACTCAGGCTCGTGTTAACAGTTGTTGCTTGAAACTTTTGTCCCACATGAGATACTCAGATACGAATATAGAGTTAGATTTGAGTTCTTCACTTGAATAACAGATGCCACACCAAATATCTGATCGCGATTCAACTGACAAATTCACATCTATAACTCGAAATTTAGACTGAATACCTTACTTGAGGCAAGTTTTGAGTAACTTTATTCAGAGTTCCATCCAAGTATTTCAGCTGAATCGCGATCTACGCGACATTTACGTCTGTAATCGCGACTCAACTGGAGAGGCTCTCATTCAACTCTGAGTTCACGTTCGAGTTTCTCATTTGAGAACAAGTTTCCACCTATTGATATGAGCTTAAGAGTTCGACAAGATTATGCCCGATTTGGTTCGTTTGATTCATAGAACACGCTGCAGATTAACATATCTTGCTGATTCCGATGTTCCCGATTATCTTCAGAGCACGGATACCGATTGATCGAACGTCGATTGCCGATAGTTTTCAGCGGTTCAGTCACGAGATGAGACTTCTTGGCTGCGATTTTCGGCTAGATCTTCGCGCGCGTACAGGACGAGCACGGGACGAAAGACTGGATGAGATTAGAAGGAATTTTAGTGCCGCGTGTCGAGGACATACGACGTGGGCGAAAAGACCGCCTTTTTTCGGCGGAAGCGGCCCGGAGCTCAGCGGTTCTCAAAGCGGACCGCGCGCGGACGCACGCTCGTCGATCGCGAATTGGGCAATCTTCTCTTGGGGAGCCGTAGGAAGTGTGGCCACTCGAGATATAACGTCCGCGTTTCACTCGTTCATGTGTTCGCGCAACGTTGGGCGATATCCTAATTCCGGACGCTCGTAAATTTGTGCGGCTCGTCCCGCGCGAGCTTCATGCCGCCGGTGGTTTGTGTAGTTTCAATCTTGTCGCGTCCCGATGATTGAAGCCGAAGAGGCTCAAACGCGCCGAGTGGCACTAAACGGCACTATTTATCCATTTGTCACCGGTCGAACGAGTCATTCTGACCGCCAGGCATTGCTTTTCCGTCTCACCTTGTGTTCTTTTATAAGCTTTTAATCAATAGCGATAATAAACATTGCAGTTGAGAGAGAAAGAGAGAGAGGGGAAACAGCCAAGTATCTCCTCGATGAGAGAAACGGAGAGATGGGTTCTTATACTTTTTTACATAACACGAGGCTGTTCCTTGAAACAATCATTAATCGTCGTTAATTTCATGACGTTATCCTCATCACTATTCAGAGACTTGGAGAGTTTGATACGCTCTATACACTCACATTTCTACTAAGATATAATTAGGACTCGCGCGGTTTACATTTTTCGATAATTGCGCGATGACATTGGCCATCTCTGTCGTCATATTGATAGTCATTATCTTGCTGAACACCGGAAACATTTCGAAACTGCAACTGTATAACTTCACATCGGAGCGCGAGCGTGGCAAATAAAACATAATCGACGACTGACTATCGATATGATGACGATGTGTCAAACATTTCTCCCTGGGGAGCCTCCCGAGGGACAGCTCGGTCTGTCCTTTCGCGAATCTCCTTTGGGAAATGCTCGCGCTGGCGTCTTGAAAGCGTCAGAGACATGCTAAAGCAGATCCCTACGCTCCGCGGTTCTTACACGATCTGATGAAAAGCGTCTAATAACAAAGCATGATATATTACAACGTCAGAGCGGAGACGAAGGTTCGCATTATCAATGCTACTACGGCCAACTGATTCTCAGTTCGGGAATGAGAATCAAATGGACGCAGATTAGCGTTAACTACAGAGCGAGATCTTGCAGGCAGCACGAATTTGCAAGCGAAAAGACATCGATACGATCTGAACGGCTGAGCTGGTTCAGAATCGAAGGTTCTACGCTCATTCAACCGTTCAGGAGATAGCTCCTGAGGAAGATTTGCCGGCAAGATCTCATCGTAAAATCACACTTCGCTAGATCACACAGCTCGTCACGATTCTCACGGGCGCACTTCCGTAAGCATCAATCGACTAATGTTTACGGAGCCGGCTCGTAAGCTCGCGACAACTCGCATAAGCTTGGGAGAAAGCAGCAGCAAGGTGGCAAAGCGGCAAAAGCGTTTTATTAGTGTACAAAAAAATGAGCAAAGCGACGCAAGGCAAGGCTAGGCGAGGTTAGGCGAGGCTAGTTGAGGCTAGGCTAGACGGGCGACGTTCTTCCTCGATCTCCTCTCTTTCCTCTCTTCTTCCTTGGTCATCGTCATGGTCGTGCTCGCTCTCTGTCGTGGTCGTATGGATGATGAAGCAACGTGTGAGAAGCATTGTATCAAGCGCCGAGACGAAAAGCACCAAGATTAACACGATCTTTCATCTCACATCGTTCAACTCACCGTTCAGCTTGTCGATCGCCCGATCGGCTGTGGACTGATCGGCGCAATCGACGAAGGCGTAGCCGCCGCGCTTCACCAGGATCGTGGTGCACGCCAGGCTGTGCTCCTGGAAGAGCTGCCTGAGGGTGCTCTCGTTGCAATCTGACGGCAGATTGCCCACGTAGAGCTTCGACATGGTGGCTGGCTGCTCGCTGCTTCTGCTTGACGCTACGATGCCGGCTTCCACCGAATTCGCGGTTCGGTCACGTGTGTCGGACTCAACGGCGACAATTCGGTGCGCGTGCGCGCGCGGACTCGCGTACCCGGCTTCGAGTACTGACCTCGTCGTAGATCCGGGGCCTACGTGGACCCCGTGAGAGCTGATGGGAGAGAGCGAAGAGAAGAGATGCGCGCGCGACACGACACCGAGATCACGAGGATCGCGAGCTGGAGAACGTGATGCGCGGGATGGACGGTCGGATGGAGCGGTAAACGGCGCGGTTGATACCAGCGATACACGACGTGGTGAAAGTTCTCGGCGGATTTTCGGTCGACTTTTCGGGGGACCTGAAGGAAGGCGTCCGTTGTTTCTCGGAGAGCGTAGACGATGATCGAGACGACGATGGCTGGTCCACGCCGGGACACGGTACGCGCGGTATCTTGGCTGGAGCTCGCGGACACGAGAGAGAGAGAGAGAACACGGCGCGGGTCGCGCGTGGGTCACGGGCTGCACACGCGAGAGGCAGGAACACGAGGACGAGAGAGCACGGAGGTCCTTTCGGGCGATTTCTGCGACGAGATCGGTCCTCGATCGGGCTGACACCTTCTTTTGTTTCCCGCTGTTGGCTTCCTCGCGCCTCTCGACTAGCCGACTGCGAGCCGCTCGATCCGCGGATAGGCGACGACTGTGTGTGCGGTCTCACTCGCTGTCTCTGTCTGTCTGTCTGTCTGTCTGTCTGTCTGTCCGTCTCTCACGGTGACGACTCGAGAACGCGGCGCTGTTGCGCGAATCTGACGCGCTTCCGGTGGCTGTCCGTCAGCAGCTCGCAGAAACCGACGACGATGGAGACCGGCCGGCGTGTCCTCGCAGAAATGGTTCTCCCCGACCGCTCCAAGTTTAAGAGACGCGCGCGAGTTGACCGGTCCGTCTCTCCTTCTCTCTCTCTCCTGCGTCGATTCGCGCCGTGTCCGAGCGATTCCCTCTCTCTCACTCTCCCTCTCTCTGTCTCCGTCTCTCCTTCTTGCGAACGACGACGCACCTTCCTACCAGGCTCTCCTCTCTTTGGCTAGACCACGACGCGACGTCTAAGGGGCTCTCGCGTTCGGCGTGCTGTGCCCCTCTCTCTCACCCCTTTGCCACCCAGGCTACGGGAGGAAAGGGGGAGTCGAGATGCGATGCAAACTCGTCTTTCTCTCTCTTTTTTCCCTCTACCGTCGCTAGCATCTCTCTCCCTCTCTCTCTTTCGCGAATTCGTGCCTCTCTCCTCGCTCCTCGCGCGTGCATTCTCTTGCTTTTTTTCCTCCCGTCCGTCCCTCTCTCACTCTTTCTCTCTCTTGCGCGCGCGCGAACGCGAACGCCGAGCGGGAAACCAACTCGAAATCCGCCGGCGGCGAGTCCGCGATTGGACGCTCGTGAACCACGTGGATGACCCCACCGACTCCCGCCTCTGCTCGCCATTGGTTGCTTTTCGCACGCCGGTTTTCGCAGCCGGCTACACGCGCGCTGCGAATGCGTGCACGCGAGCGCGTGAGCGTGCTGCGTGTGCACGCTCTCTCGCTCTCTCACGCCTGACTTTTCTCTCTCTCTCTCTCTCTCTCTCTCTCTCTCTCTCTCTCTCT